TGTACGCCAGCGCGGATGCGGCGAGCAGCAGCGGGGCACACACCCACGCAGAGCTGCTGAGGCTGCCGTCGATTTCGCGAAGACGTGACGGTGCGCGGGTGGTGGTCGTGGTTGGCGCCTCTGTGGTAGTCGTCGTACTTGGTGCCACTGGCGCAGTGGTCGTCGTCGTTGTCGTCGCGGCAGGATCTTCACCGTTCTGATCTGTTTGATCTGCGGACCTATTTGTGCTACCTTGTGGCCCTGTCGTATCGTTATTATCATGTTTCTGTGACTTATCGGCCGCACCATCTGATTGCGTTTCCGAACCGCTCGTACCTCTTACATCTCCGTCAACATCTTGCAGTTCCGCAGCGGAAACCACATCTTGCAGCCCTGACTCACCGGTCGTCGTGGCTGGTGGATTGGACGGTGGGCTTGGGGCGCTTAAAGTAACATCAGAAGATTGAACTTTTTCAGGATCCTGCGCAAAGCATAAGAAAGGGCAGCAGCACAGGGCGAGCACCAACAGGGCGCACAGCAGACGGCACGTCATCATCGTGAGTGTGGTCGTTCAGTGGTGTGGAGCTGATCTGCACACTGAGGGACATGGAGAGCAACAGGGGAGACGAGAGATGCGGCAGACACACACAGAGGGCACACCACATGAGGAGAGGGCAGCAGCCAGGCATGCACCGTACGCCGCACACCACGCACGACACACACTCCAATCCACGGCAGCAGGCACACCACACACACACACACACACAGCCCTGCCGCAACACCAACACACAGATGGAAGAGGGAGAAGCAAACAGGAGCGGCACACAAGGCTCCACCGCATGCACATACGGCGAGAGCGGTCCGTCGTGTCGGCACCCCTCACGGAGGGTGCGCACACACACAAGAGGAGGTGCAGCGCACACAGCAACACAAAAGCAAAGTAACAATAAAAAAGGAGATCCCCACACACCACGTGGATTGTTGGTCCACGGGAAGTGCAGCCAATATTCATCACAAAAACAGTTCAGTTGCCCTCGGCCTTCGTTCATATTCAGCGCACTCCACTTCATGCAGGCACGGCAAATACTGCATCAGCAGCCGCACGCTCAAATATAAGCGCAAGGAATGGTATAATGCAAGCAACCATTTACTTGTGTTTCTGTTTAAAAGTTGGCAGATGTCTGCATGCGTTTTGTTTTGTCTTTGCGGAGGGCAAACCTTCATGCCTGGGTCGTGTGCTGGGGATTTCTGCAGGGTACACAATTTGTTTTCTTTCCTCTTGTGAATGTTTCTTGTGTTGGTGCAGCCAATAATTCGGTTTGTGTTGTTCCTGCCTTTCGCTGGTAAAGTGTTGCAATAAAGAATAATCTTCTGAGCCGCTGGCCGAATCCTGAGTTTCTCAATAATAGAAACCAAACAAGATAGAAATAAGTGAGGGATCAACAGAATAAGAGTGGATGCACCACATCCTCAGAGTTCAACACGAGGCAAATAAATGCATGTTTATATATATATACCATCCGTTAGCCACAATCGTGGCCCGCTCACTCTATTCGGATAGGATACATATATTTATTTATTACTTACGAGGTGGCAGACTTTTGGGGTCCTGCAGCCACAAGACCCCGCCGCGTGGTGGGAACCAAAAGGGGGTGGGTGCGATGGTTAAAATAAAAATAAAAAATTATCCGGCCGCTGTCGGCTCCCTAAAGTCGTGGCCTTCCCAAAACTCATACGGTAGAAAAGTGTCGTAAAGAAGTGTACATTCGTTCTATCAGGGTATATATATATATATACATTCCTTAAGGCAGCCAGCTCTCCCGCGACCATTCTCTACACAGGCTCCTAAAAGGGCTCAAACACACCCACAGGACTCCCAGCAAGAAAAAAGGAAACACGGCATGACTGACACGACTCAGAGTCATGTTTCTAAGACAATGCGTGGATGACTCTGTCGACGCCACACCCGCACCATATGCCATCAACTCCTCCACGGCAATAATCCCGCAGAGTGCGGAGAGGACGCTTCACGAGCGCATTATTGGCGGAGCCAAACAACTGTACCGTCAGCAGATGGCAGCGGTCGGCGGGGGAAAGTGAAGGTGGTGGGACTGTTGGGGAGGGTCGATGCGCAGTGTCCCTCACAAATACGAGGCGGGTGAAGTGAAACACACTCGTCCGAACGTCACCGGCCACCAAAATGCATTGCTCCCTGCTGTTAATATTGATGAGCTCGAGGCTGGAGCAACTACGCGCAGTGCGTGAAAGCGTCTTCCTGCACTGACGCTGCGATTCACATTAGACGGGCAACTTCAGAACAGTCGATCCCCAGCAGTAAAATGCAGCTGGCAGTGACGCTGTGGATTCTCGATTCCCCCGGCAACGGAGGGCGGAGAAGAAAACTGGTCTCCCCAGCTGCGCGGCATCCATCCATTCACTCTGTGCGTCCAGAGTGCCTCGCAGCTGCCTTGAGAGATGCAGCGGACAGACCTCCCTTATTTTCGCCTCGATCCGTCAACGAAGACTTTCGCGGAGGTGTCGGCACACACCGAAGTCTCCCTCGTGCCCGCCAAACAAAAGACACACCCGTTGAGCATCGTCACGTGCGTCGACGGCCACGCAAATAAATATCCACCGCAACGCAAAGAGTTTCTTATTGGGCACAAAAAGAAAACTCGAGGCGGCGGCCTGGACAACACAGACATCAAATCACACGCCAGGCAACGCTGAGATACATGCGAAAGAGCCAACGCAAGATGAGCAGCACAAACACTCGAGAGCTGCTGCGTGAACTCCACGGTAAATGGATCAGCCTCAACGCATGGGGCACTAATTACGGCAGGTGACGGCGCGAAAGCCAACGGTTCCGCAAGGCCGGGAATTGTGGAGACGGCATTCAAATCCTCCTGGGATTCGTGTGCCAAGACACGCAAATAATCCGCCCCTCGGTGCAAGTCGTCACCATAATCCTCATCGCTGTTTTTGCCGTCATTCGTATTGTCACACTCAGAGCCGTTGAGGGAAGGTGCTGCCATGATGATTGTCACATCACACTGAATGAAACAACACAATGCCTCGAAGGGTGCCGAGTGCAGGCATCCCGTCAGGCGGCGACACGGCGCACTTCCAAAGAAAATCGATGAAAGACCGTAGAAAATGTTTTCATCCGCCATCGTAATATCGTCCAGCAGGTTCGCCCTCTTGTTCCTCGGCGCATCGACCTTCTCCAAGACACCAGCTGCCGCTGCCGTAGACCACGCTGCTGCCGCACTCACCCCCACAGAGAGACAAGGAAGAGTGTGTGGAAGTGTGCCAAGAGCACAGCGACTTTCATCGCCGGAGAAGGCCATCGTGCAGCCGCGTCATCATTTCAGTACGGAACGCCAGCCAACGTCCCTCGTTACCAAAAACATTCTTGCAGAGCACTGTGCAAGCACTTATGTGTGTGCTGGGTGTGTGATGGAGGAGCAGAAAAAAAAAGAGGAGCACAGGGAGGCACATCAGGACAGCAAGAGGCACAGCTGGATGGCAGCGATACATGCAGCACGGCCCCAACCTCAACAATCACGCACGGTGGCAGCACACACAAAAGCAAAAAACAAAAAACAAAAAATCTTAAAAACACGGCGGCAGGGTGTGGCTGTGTGTGTGGCGCTGCGGGTGTCTGCCCGCCCTGGCCGCAATAAAAAAAACAAGGGGGAAAGAAATGTGTGCTCCGCCCCACAGGCCCTCGTCGCACGCCCACACGTCACGGCTCCCTCAGCGCGCCGTTCGTCGCGGCCCCTCCTCATGCGTGCAGCAGGCGAGGCGCACAGGGCCGTCGTCATGAGCGTGTCGGTGGGTGTGCGAGTGGAGCAGTTGGGCGGGAAACACACGGCACCCCTCACGGGAAGAGTGCAGCAAAAAACAATTAAAAGAGGGAAGAGTAGAAAAGAAAAAAGAACGTCCATACTGATTGCCCCCAAAAGCAAAGAGAGAAGAGATGGGGAGTAAGATTAGTAAACAAAAGAAAAAAAAAAATTAAAGAAAATAAACCATTAAAAAATGAAAAAAAACTCACAACGCCCCGAAGGAAGTAAAAAATAAGCAAAATTAACACAAAAAACAAGCAACAACAAAACAACAACAGAAAAAAAGATAGAAAGTAAAAAAAAAAAGTAAAAACACAAAACTCAAGGAGCTGCAACGAATGACTCCAGTGTGGATGCAGCAGCACACAAAAATGCGTCCACGCAATCAGTTGTGGGCGTGTCGTGCACATGAGTGTGTCTGGGATGCGTTCAACGTGACGGATACGGAGGCAACAACATGGAGCACACAGCAGCGCAGCAGAAGCAAATGAAGCAAAACACACAATCATTATTTTCTATTACTTATTACGCAATAAAACAAAAGAAGCTCAAAACATCCCGTGGTTAAGTGCTGGCAATTATAGTCCGCATTCACTTCTTCAGCCCAGTGTCTCGTACGCAAGGACAGCCAGAACAAGCAGCAGCCGGCTAAGCAGATGGGTGTCATGGAAGCAGGCGTCAGTTCCCACACTTTTCTCCAGCGCGTTCGTTGTGGGCGCAGAGGAAAGGGTAGACGGCATGCTTGCCGCCATATTATTTCCTTCGCTAGAAGCAGTGTCGGTGTTGTTGGCGGCGGTGTCCCCTTCGGCGCCTCCAGCTGCACCCCCGTCCTCGCCGGTCTGGGACAACTGAGTCGGTGGCGCAGCAGTAGTCTCTTCCTGCAGCTCCACTGGAGGGCCATGGGAGGAGTGGTCGCCGCCTTCTGTGGGCTTTGGATCTGGTAGGGATTCGGGTGCAGCAGAAGCAGCAGAAGTAGAACGTAAAGGGCCTTGAAGCTCACCAGAGGGAGCGGAATCCGACGCTTGCGAGGCCTCAGAAGAAGGATCCGTCGTGGCCGCAGCGCCAGCAGCAGAGTTAGCACCAGCGCCGCCTGGAGTTGCAGGTGGAGGAGGAGGAAGGGCACCAGCGGAATCCGCAGCGACAGGAGAAGATTCAGAATCCGTTGTGGAGGTGTCACCGGGAGCCTTCTGTTCTCGAGGTCCCAGAGTACCTGCTTCCAAAGGCTTGGATGTACCACTTGCAACGGTGGCCACCTTCGGTTCCACGTTACGCTCCCACCAACTCTCCAGGATGCTTGGAGTGGGCGTATCGACGTCGATCGTGAAGACACCACCGTTCGCAACTCCTTTGGCGCGAGTCTGTGAAACCCCGGACGCACAGTTTCCGACGCCCATGCCGCAAATCATCTGCCCTGCACCACGAGCTGAATCCGTGCAGTTGTACCACAATGACTTCCCAGGGAGCTGCCAGCGCCCGAGTTTATCCTTACCCGCACACTCTGCATTCACCTGCGTCACCTGCGGCTCTTGCTCCTCCCCTTCCTCCACGGCAAACGCGCACGAGCAGCAGCACAGCAGTGCCAGCGCCAACACGACACAAAACACACGGCGCATCATCGTCAAAACTTTCGTTGTTAAAAAACGTGGATTCGATCTGCAAGAGCATAAGAAAGGAAGTAGAGAGAGACAGCAGCTACACCACGCACAGCCACCGCATGGTAATAAATGGCAGCAGTCAGAAGAAGCGCACACCAAAAAAGACAAGTGGAATCAGTACAACCGCAGAAGTCGCACACCGCCCCGCAAACCAAAACTTACAAAGGCGAAAAAAAAAAAAAAAAAAAGAAAAAAAAAAGATGATGGGAGTCCAACAAAACTCCCAAAACTTAAAAAAAAAATCAATCGGGCAGCACTCTTATTTCTTATGCTAAGCAGCACAAGACAACCGTGTGTGTCTGTGTATACATAATGCCTTCACCAAGAAAAAAAACAAAAAACAAATAAAAAAAGATCGTCCTGTTCCACCAGCACACACAACATCCCTCACGCTTCATTGTGACACCCCGCCTGTTCCTCCGCTCCTCCTTTCGTGCAGTCCGTGGGACGCACAGCAACGAGGCCGACATAGCGTGTGGGCGGCAAAAACAAAACAAAAGGGGAAACACTTCACTCGTGACAGTGTACAGCTTCAACAATTGAAAAAGAAAAGCATTATTAAAACAAGGCACCAAAATCAAAATAAAAACACCGAAGAAACAAACACATACAAAAAGAAGACATGCAGGCGTCACCACACCAAAAAAAGTGAGGGGTAATGGGAGTATGCCTATCCAACCACAACACACTTAAAACAATAAAACCAAAAAAGAAACCGAAGCGTGGGACGACCAGCGCACACACTCTCATTGCTCCCGTAAAGCAAAACACACACACAGGGGGAGAGAGTGAGAGGTCGCCCACTCAATGCAATAAAAACAAAACAGAAACAGTTACGGTGCTCCGCCCATGCAGCCGGGCAGGACGGCAGCGGTGCGTGTCGTGCAAAAGAGAGCACCAACGGGCCTGCATGGGTGTGCATGCATATATACAATGGGCACATTATGTGCGTGCTTCGTGGGGTGAGGTGAGGGCGAGAGTCCATGCAGGGGGACACACACACACAGAGAGTCAGTGAAAGACGAGTGTGTGTGCGGGCGGTGCATGGCGCTCTCTCCCTCACTCTCACGCGGCCACCACCGCAGCAGCCGCACACGCAACAACAACAAGAAGCAAAAGAGGGGAGGTGGTGTGGAAGACCGCGGTGCTGCCGTCACTGTTTTGTGTGTTCGTCGTATCAGTTGTGTTGGCGGTTACCGTCGTTGCTTTTGTATCTTCCCCAGTCCCTTCTGAGCCTTTGTCATGGTGGCTTTGTGGTGTGGCTGCGGTCTCAGGCAACGGAACATTTTTTTTACCTTCACTCGTGGTGCCTTCGCCATCCTGCTCGCGGGAATGAATACCGTCCTGTGGAGGAGGTGGTGAAGGATTTCCTTCCACAATTCCCGCAGGCAGTGTGTTCTCTCCGCTAATTGTTGTGAGTGCGCTCTCTACCGCTGGTGTATTTTTGTCGGTTTCCTTTTTTCCTTCAACTTCCGTTTGCGTAAGATTGACATTTAATTCCCGACTGCCGGAAGGAGAAATGCTCTCTGCGGATGAAATTGACAGTTCTGTTTGCTTCCAACTGCCAATTAACTTATTTTCGGTGGAACCTGAGCCCAGTGCAACTGTTCCCTCTTGACCACTCTGCCCTCGTACGTTTTCTTCTCCTTCATCTTCCGTTCCTCCATCATCATCATCACTTTCTTCAATATCGTCATCAACATCCTCATCATCTTCCTCTGTAGGTGTGGAAGGTGAATTTTCTTTAGCATCGGCTGCTCCACCTTTTAAATCCTGCGTGCCTTGTGAAGACGTTTCAAGTCCTTTTGATTCCGGCGGAGACTTACCACCATCCTGTTGCGCACCAACTCCCACCCCCGCATCACATCTACCGCCGGCACCGCACCACAGCACGCAGAGGGCACACACCAGCAGCACACGGCCAGTCATCCTCATCGCCATCACTCCTGTCACTTGCGTGTAGCCTTCAGCACAAACTAACAACACGCCAACGCAGAGCAAAAGCAAACAGAGTGTCACACAGCCACCGCAACAGCCACCGCACAGTAACAAATGTCAACACACCAGCAGCGGCGCACACACCATGAGACAGTTGGAATCAGTACGATTGCAGAATTCACACAACGCCCTGCAAACCAGAAGTTTAAAAAGCAATAAGAAACAAGAATAAAAAAAAACCCGGGAGCTCCAGTGCGCATGCTTATGAGTGTTTTCGCGATGCGTTCAACGTTGCGGATGTGGGAAGCAACGCGGAGCACACAGCACGGCAGCGGAAGCAAACAAAGCAAAAACGATCATTATAATTACACTTACTTTATACATCGGACCACAGTAGACGTACAGATGTCCCCGTGGCTTGGTGTGCTGGCACGCACACACCTCTTCAGCCCACAGCGGTGTACGCCAGCGCGGATGCGGCAAGCACCAGCGGGGCACACACCCACGCAGAGCTGCTGAGGCTGCCGTCAATTCTGTGAAGAAGTGACGGTGCGCGGGTGGTCGTCGTGGTTGGCGTCTCCGTAGTCGTTGTCTTAGTCGTGGTTGGTGCGTTTGTCGTAGTGGTGGTCGTGGTCGCAGTTGGTGCCTGTGTTGTATTCTTCTTCGTGGTCGTCTCGGCAGAGGCTTCGGAGTTCTTATCTGCCTGTTCTGCGGGCTCTGTCGTGCGACTTTGTGGTCCTGGAGCACCGTCATCACCTTCTGTCATACCTTTATTATCTTTTATGTCCACTGTACCGGTCGCAGATCCTCCATTTCCGGCAATTTTTCCATCCCTCTCACCGGACTCCGTATGTGACGATTCTGACTGAGGGACCCCCAATGATGCTCCTGACAAAATAGCGGAACGACTGGCCTCATTTGTATTATCCTTAACTTGAGTCTGCGGGGTGTCCGAAGTGCACACAGACGAGCAGCAGCACAGGGCGAGTACCAACAGGGCGCACAGCAGACGGCACGTCGTCATCATCGTGAGTGTGGTCGTTCAGTGGTGTGGAGCTGATCTGCACAGTGAGGGACATGGAGAGCAACAGGGGAGACAAGAGGTGCGGCAGACACACACACAGAGGGCACACCACATGAGGAGAGGGCAGCAGCCAGGCATGCACCGTACGCCGCACACCACGCACGACACACACTCCAATCCACGGCAGCAGGCACACACACACACACACAGCCCTGCCGCAGCACCAACACACAGATGGAAGAGGGAGAAGCAAACAGGAGCGGCACACAAGGCTCCACCGCATGCACATACGGCGAGAGCGGTCCGTCGTGACTGCACCCCTCACGGAGGGTGCGCACACACACAAGAGGAGGTGCAGCGCACACAGCAACACAAAAGCAAAGTAACAATAAAAAAAGGAGATCCCCACACACCACGTGGATTGTTGGTCCACGGGAAGTGCAGCCAATATTCATCACAAAAACAGTTCAGTTGCCCTCGGCCTTCGTTCATATTCAGCGCACACCACTTCATGCAGGCACGGCAAATACTGCATCAGCAGCAGCACACGCAAATATAAGCGCAAGGAATGGTATAATGCAAGCAACCATTTACTTGTGTTTCTGTTTAAAAGTTGGCGGATGTCTGCAATTTTCTTTTTGTTTTTTGTTTTTGCGGAGGGCAAACCTTCATGCCTGGATCGTGTGTTGGGATTTCTGCAGGGTACACAATTTGTTTCTGTCCTATTGTGAATGTTTCTTGTGTTGGTGCAGCCAAGAATTCGGTTTGTGTTGTTCCTGCCTTTCGCTGGTAAAGTGTTGCAATAAAGAATAATCTTCTGAGCCGCTGGCCGAATCCTGAGTTTCTCAATAATAGAAACCAAACAAGATAGAAATAAGTGAGGGATCAACAGAATAAGAGTGGATGCACCACATCCTCAAAGTTTAACACCAGGTAACTGTATGTGTTTATATAAATATACCATCCGTTAGCCACAATCGTGGCCCGCTCACTCTATTCGGATAGGATACATATATTTATTTATTACTTACGAGGTGGCAGACTTTTGGGGTCCTGCAGCCACAAGACCCCGCCGCGTGGTGGGAATCAAAAGGGGGTGGGTGCGATGGTTAAAATAAAAATAAAAAATTATCCGGCCGCTGTCGGCTCCCTAAAGTCGTGGCCTTCCCAAAACTCATACGGTAGAAAAGTGTCGTAAAGAAGTGTATATTCGTTCTATCAGGGTGTATATATATACATTCCTTAAGGCAGCCAGCTCTCCCGCGACCATTCTCTACACAGGCTCCTAAAAGGGCTCAAACACACCCACAGGACTCCCAGCAAGAAAAAGGGGAAACACGGCGTGACTGACACGACTCAAAGTCATGTTTCTAAGACAATGCGTGGATGACTCTGTCGACGCCACACCCGCACCATATGCCATCAACTCCTCCACGGCAATAATCCCGCAGAGTGCGGAGAGGACGCTTCACGAGCGCATTATTGGCGGAGCCAAACAACTGTGCCGTCAGCAGATGGCAGCGGTCGGCGGGGGAAAGTGAAGGTGGTGGGACTGTTGGGGAGGGTCGATGCGCAGTGTCCCCCACAAATACGAGGCGGGTGAAGTGAAACACACTCGCCTGAAAGTCACCGGCCACCAAGATGCATTGCTCCCCGCTGTTAATATTGATGAGCTCGAGGCTGGAGCAACTACGCGCAGTGCGTGAAAGCGTCTTCCTGCACTGACGCTGCGATTCACATTAGACGGGCAACTTCAGAACAGTCGATCCCCAGCAGTAAAATGCAGCTGGCAATGACGCTGTGGATTCTCGATTCCCCTGGCAACGGAGGGCGGAGAAGAAAACTGGTCTCCCCAGCTGCGCAGCATCCATCCATTCACTCTGTGCGTCCAGAGTGCCTCGCAGCTGCCTTGAGAGATGCAGCGGACAGACCTCCCTTATTTTCGCCTCGATCCGTCAACGAAGACTTTCGCGGAGGTGTCGGCACACACCGAAGTCTCCCTCGTGCCCGCCAAACAAAAGACACACCCGTTGAGCATCGTCACGTGCGTCGACGGCCACGCAAATAAATATCCACCGCAACGCAAAGTGTTTCTTATTGGGCACCAAAAGAAAACTGGAGGCGGCGGCCTGGACAACACAGACATCAAATCACACGCCAGGCAACGCTGAGATACATGCGAAAGAGCCAACGCAAGATGAGCAGCACAAACACTCGAAAGCTGCTGCATGGACTCCACGGTAAATGGATCAGCCTCAACGCATGGGGCACTAATTACGGCGGGTGACAGCGCGAAAGCCAACGGTTCCGCAAGGCCGGAAATTGTGGAGACGGCATTCAAACCCTCCTGGGATTCGTGTGCCAAGACACGCAAATCATCCGCCCCTCGGTGCAAGTCGTCACCATAATCCTCATCGCTCTCTTTGCCGTCATTCGTATTGTCACACTCAGAGCCGTTGAGGGAAGGTGCTGCCATGATGATTGTGACATCACACTGAATGAAACAACACAATGCCTCGAAGGGTGCCGAGTGCAGGCATCCCGTCAGGCGGCGACACGGCGCATTCTTAGCAATGTACGAAGCAAAGGCAACAAAACAGCTTTTATCCGCCATCGTAATCGCGTCCAGCAGGTTCGCCCTCTTGTTCCTCGGCGCATCGTCCCCCTCCAAGACACCAGCTGCCGCTGCCGTAGACCACGCTCCTGCTGCCATCACCCCCACAGAGAGACAAGGAAGAGTGTGTGGAAGTGTGCCAAGAGCACAGCGACTTTCATCGTCAGAGGAGGCCATCGTGGCACCGTCATCATTTCAGTACGGAACGCCAGCCAACGTCCCTCGTTACCAAAAACATTCTTGCAGAGCACTGTGCAAGCACTTATGTGTGTGCTGGGTGTGTGATGGAGGAGCAGAAAAAAAAAGAGGAGCACAGGGAGGCACATCAGGACAGCAAGAGGCACAGCTGGATGGCAGCGATACATGCAGCACGGCCCCAACCTCAACAATCACGCACGGTGGCAGCACACACCCATCCAAAAAAAAAAGAAAAGAAAAACACGGCGGCAGGGTGTGGCTGTGTGTGTGTGGCGCTGCGGGTGTCTGCCCGCCCTGGCCGCAAAAAAAAAAAACAAGGGGGAAAGAAATGTGTGCTCCGCCCCACAGGCCCTCGTCGCACGCCCACACGTCACGGCTCCCTCAGCGCGCCGTTCGTCGCGGCCCCTCCTCATGCGTGCAGCGGGCGAGGCGCACAGGGCCGTCGTCATGGGCGTGTCGGTGGGTGTGCGAGTGGAGCAGTTGGGCGGGAAACACACGGCACCCCTCACAGGAAGAGTGCAGCAAAAAACAATTAAAAGAGGGAAGAGTAGAAAAGAAAAAAAACGTCCATAGTGATTGCCCCAAAAGCAAAAAAGATGGGATGGGGGAGTGAAAAATAAAAATAAAAAAAAAGTTTTTTTTAAAAAAAGAAAAATTATAAATTACGAACAGCAAAAGAAAAAGAGAATTATCTTAAGGAAAAATTAGTTCTTGGAAGTAATTCCGTGCAGGGAGGTGCAAGTCTCCCACGCGGCAGCCAGTCACTCCTCACAGAGCCGCAAGCCCCCACAGTCCCAACAGCAGAAGCAGAAGTGGCAGCAGTCCGCTCCCGCACACACTGCAGGCATCGGTGTTATTCCCCTGCGACACATTCCCAAGACTGCTGCTGAGGGCCGCAGCCTTTACCTCCCCGTTCTGTGCATGGATCTCCTCCTTCTCCTGCCCATCCGTTCCTTCCGCCGTCTCCCCATCCGCACCTGAGCTCGCGCTCGCCCCAGGATTCACTGCGGTTCCATCGTGCCCCATGGCTTCAGCGTTAGGGTCATATGCATCTGCTGTGGCGGGAGTACCCACAAGAGTTTCTGATGATCCATCTCCCTGCACCGTACTTCGGTCTCCTGTCTCCACCGCTGCCTCACTGCCAGGCGAGGAAGCGCCACCCACATTTTTACTTCCATCGGAAGGTTCTTCTGTCACCAACTGGGTTGCAGACCCCTCTCCTCCTGAGGAAGTCTTGGCACTGGACACCGTTGATGCGGATACACCGTCCGCACGACTGCTCTCCAACGACTGTCCCTGTTCCTCCTTTCCTCCATCAGGAGAAGATTGAATCGCGTCTCCTTCAACAGGCCTTTCCACCTGAACTTGAATATTGGCTTTATTCGGGTTAAGGACGCGGATCTCATTGTCATCCAACGGGCGGTTGTACAGAAGAACGTTCGTCACCGTCACAGACACGCCTTCTCGGTTTTCCTTGTTCTCTGCGCTGCCTCCATCCCCTCCAATGTAGAAGCGGGAGATATCATTGGACTCACCATTTCCCAATTCACATTGTGCATTCCCCACTCGCTGACCATCGACGTACGCGGTGCCCTGGTTGCCGTTCCTCAACAAAATTACCACGTGTTGAGTTGTATCTGTCTCCCCAATGCTGCCGAGCTCCTTAGGGTTATCGTCACTGCACAGCACCTGCCACTTCTTTTCGCTGCTGTACGAGAACTCCATAAGTTTGTTTTCTCCGTTACTGCCCGCACGCACACCCATCAATGGAATAGGGGTGTTTCCCTCCGGCACGTTGTGGATGGACACCGTCGCCACAAGAGTGAACTTGTAGTTCGCAAAGTGGTACAGCTGATTCTCCCCCTGCCTGCCAACGGGCCACTGCGCCCCTGCGCCACGCCCAGTGAACTTCACGCCACTATCCACTTGCTCCGCCCCATCATTCTCCGCTATTGTGGCGTTCACCCCGAGGTACTCCTCTTTCCATATACCATCAGAAAAATTGCCCGACAAAAAGCCAACCAGCCCATCCGTGATCTTAACAGCGCCGCAGGCATTGCCAGTTGGGCGATCCTTCGCAACAATTAATGAGGTGCACAGCTGGGAGACACTTTTGTCCACCTCCTTCCAGGTCGTCAGCACCTTCTTCACCCGCTGCAGCTGCTCAGTCAGAAGCACAGAGATCATACCGGGTGATGGTTTCCCATCGTTGCCTTTCCTCTTCTCGTACAGTGCAATCAACTCCTCCTTCTTATCTCCACTTTTACCACTTTTGTACAACAGGGAGCTGGTGGCAGCTTCATCATCGGATACCGGCCCAATATCAACAATGTGCGTATTGTCCGTCAGCCAAAGATGCAGTTTTCCCTTTTCGTTGCCTTTCTCGGCATACACCGGCAGAGTAACGAGCATCACATTTCTGTTATCTTCAACACCGTCAATCGTCGCTGTGATGAACCCGCTCCTAACACTCTTCACATTTCCCTTGTGTTTGTTGCCCCACACGCGCGAGAGCGTCCCGAGTGCCTCCGTCCACTCCTCCCCCTTGTCATCGGACTCGTACACCCTGTGGCGGCCATCATTACACGCAGTCATCATCATGAGTTTTTTGTCCTTCTCCCACTCCACGACGGAGGGATCACTGCAGCCATCGGCAGACATCCCCTTCGACAGCTTCCAATTCGTATTATCCGAGGAGTATATGATCAGTGAGACAGTCTTTACATCCTCTTCAGCGCCCTCCGCCGCCTTCTTCGTGCCTTCCACAGGAAAAACAAGAGTCTCGTCCTCCATCTTAACACCCAATCCACCGCTTCCAATCAGCCTTGTCCAGGAATTGAGCTGTGTGCCAAAAAGTCCTTGCGGGGGACTCTCAGTATCTTTCCAGTCAATTTTTTTTTTATTTCCATCAACACTGACGCTCCCTTTCACCAGCAAAAGTCCCAATTGAGCCGCGTCAGGCTTGGCATTCTGTCCAGAAGCGGCAACTTTATTAGTGTAGACTCCAGCAAGCATGTAAATATCATTCACCTTCAAAACTGTTGTTGGTCGGCTCACATCTACTCTTTTATTTGCGTCTTTGGAAGCACCTTCCTCCAGTACTTGTGTCTCCTTTAAGGCATCACTAAACAATTCCTCCGGTGTGTCAGCAGTTTTTGTTGTGAGAAGTTGGGATGCAACGCCAGTAAAACTGACATCATCCTTCTTCCACTGCGCCTCGGCAACGGCAAATACGTCAATCCCCACTTTTAGAAGGCCGGGAACACCCAACGACTCCAATTTTTCATCACCGGTGATGCCCTTCCATTTAAACTGGGGATCAGCTGGCTGCTCCTCAACTCCCGCAGCACCACTGCCGCAGCACATCATCACGACGAGGAGGAGCAGCACCGCGGAAGCAAACACACGCCGGGACATGTTGGGCCTCTGCGGCTCACTCTCTCTTCCTTCCCTTCTCCTTCCGCTGGATCCAGTCACGCGGCGACGGTTGTGTGTGCGGGGTGCCTTCACTGCAGCAACACGTGAGAGCATATAAATATGTGTGTTTGGGCGGTGTGTGTGCTGTTGTTCCTTACAGAGCCTTCGAATTTCACAGTAGCGTTAAGCGCTTGTTACTAACTTCTTTCCTTTGTGTGTGCATGTAGGAGAGAGAAGTTAAGAAAAACATACCAATAAAAGAGGATGAAACAGTGAGCACAGCCACCCATCCACAGTGAGTGGCACCATCATTTCCGCCGCAGTCACTCCCAACAACAACAACTCACGCACACAGACACACGGAACGAGACGGAAGAACAGTGCACCGGGAACACACAGCGACTGTCATCACCAGCAGCAGGAGTCACGGCGGGTGTGTCGTTATTCGTCACGCGTGTGCACACAACGAGAAACACCAACACATAAAAAAGGGGATGCAAAAGAACACAACGCAGGCTTCTTCGCCCCTCGCGAGGGCCTCCGCAGCCACAATCCTGTGCGTGCGTGCATTCTCAGCGTTTTAAACACGGCATGTGTGTGCATGTGCTTGTGTGTTTGGCAGCGCCTATAATTGCAGAGCAGCTGTGCGCCACAAGAGAGTCAGAAGAAAGCAACGGCAGAGAGAGGCAGATAGCACACGCACAAATTACTCATATCATCACACACAAACACACACACGCAGCCCGCGGAATGGGTGCTCTCAACCACAAAACAATGAAAAGCAAAACAAAAAGCCAAAGCGTGGGACGACCAGCGCACACACTCTCATTGCTCCCGTAAAGCAAAACACACACACAGGGGGAGAGAGAGAGAGAGAGAGAGAGGTCGCCCACTCAATGCAATAAAAACAAAACAGAAACAGTTACGGTGCTCCGCCCATGCAGTCAGGCAGGACGGCAGCGGTGCGTGTCGTGCAAAAGAGAGCACCAACGGGCCTGCATGGGTGTGCATGCATATATACAATGGGCACATTATGTGTGTGCTTCGTGGGGTGAGGTGAGGGCGAGAGTCCATGCAAGGGGACACACACAGAGAGAGTGAGTGAAAGACGAGTGTGTGTGCGGGCGGTGCATGGCGCTCTCTCACTCACTCTCACGCGGCCACCACCGCAGCCGCAGCCGCACAGACCACGAAACTGATGGAATCAGTGCGATTGCAGAACTCGCACCCCGTCCTGCAAACCAGAAGTTTAAAAAGCAATAAGAAACAAGAATTCCAAAAAAAAAAAAAAAAAGGAAAAAAACTTAGGCTTCTTCGGGGCTCGAACCCGCGCCCCGGATGACATTGTGAGCTTGTTTGCCACTGAGCTAAAAAAAATGTGGTCGCGCGACCCATTTTCACGTAAGGTGTTAATTTCGACCTTCGAACAATCGAGCACATTTGCGTTGTCCCCTGGAAAACGAAAGCGACATGTTTGGGGTGCGCCAAGGCTCTCGGATACTTCGATACAACAGTATGTATCTCTCGTCCGGGGCAGCCGCAACGCGGACACTTTGATACATTATGCATCTCGCGTCTGGGGCCGCTGCCGCACTCTTTTTTATTCCTTGCGGCGGCCAACCCCGGCAGTAAGGACAAAAAACAGGATCGCGTTTTTTTTAATGCTTTTCCTGTTTGGGGGTGGCGGATCTTTGTTTTCTATGATTGCCCCCTTTTTTTGTCTATTCCAGGTTGGTTTTAGGAGGCTTGATGTGCCTGCTGGGTGATCGCCGGCTTTTTTATTGGTGATTGCGTATTTTTGGCTTACCGGTGTGCCGCTCGGCGCCATTTTGTTTTACTTCTCTTCTGCTTATTGGGGTGCGGTGTGCGGATGATTTTTTTTTTTGTTTTCGTGTTCTTTTATGGACTTATTTCTTCTTTTTTATGGAAACGCTTAAATTTTTTTTTTAAGTGACGATGCATGTACTGCACTATATTATATTGTACAACATTCTATTGCCTGTTCTTCTTTGGGCGAATGCAGAAAATCCAGTTTCGTATCGGATTGATTGGGAAAGTTCTTCATCCACTTTTCCTGATTCGCGTAATTTGGAATCTTCCTACCTAGGTGAATGCGTATGCGATATGACATTGGGTGTCTGTGACCCCAATTGTTGTTGTGACACGGATTGTACTGTGGAAGAGAAACAGAAATTTTCATTTTGCCTTCAAGAAACCGTTGGATCTTTTTCTATGGACTATTGTTATGAGAAAAAACAGGAGGAAAAAGTTGTTCGGAGTTCTCGGCGGTACCTTGACAGAGCCAACGTCGGAAGTAGTGCCGTTTGTATTGTTAGGTCCAATAATTTAGAGGACTTGAATTCTTTTTTTGTTCTTCCAAAAGAAGTGCCAAAACCTCGCGAGAAGAAATCTATTGACTGGCCTGAGAGGAAAGAATCAAGTGGATATGAGGTAAATGGGGATTTGTTACTGATGAAACGCATAGAGGTTGGTGAATCATTATATGAAATGAGAAGTATGGGATTATTTCGCATTCCAACTGGAAGTAGGGGTGGATATTGCAATCCAGAAGGAAGACGGGTACGTTTTATGAATCCCATAGATACAACGGCTTGTGTATTACCAGGTGAAAGGGTTTGTACACTCTTTTCAACAAGCATTTACGCAAATTTGTTTTTTGTGAGCCCCGGATATTCTTCTTCCGAAGTTTTTACACCCATACAACTACGTATTTTTAATCATACATCTGGCAAATTGCTTGCTGAAGTTGATTCAAATTCAAGCATCCCCGAAGTTTACAGCTCTGTTGTTAACGGGGATTCTTGTCAAAATGGAGTTGTTCGAGTACAGACTGTTTTGTTTTACAAATCAAACGATAAAGGGCTTTCATTGATAAATGCAACAACAGATTTGTATATCAACAATATAAATAGAGAAGCAATTTTTCCCATGTCATTTCAAATAAAATTTTTTCGGTCTGTTGCTGCTATAAAATTGAACTATTTTTCTGGTACTCCAGGTTATTTTGAGGGCTCGCGTTTGCGGGCGGGTACACTGGTGGAAAAGAGTGGTAAAACGGCAATATTAGAGAGAGTTTCCGGATTTTCTGTACCTAGTGGTGGCCGATCTTGCTATAAAAATAAGTATCGTACTGTGGGTTTCCTTTATGATATTTTAAGCAGTGGTTGCACAATTGCCTTTTCCGAACTAGAATTACGTGATATTTGTTCAGGAGGCGGGACGGCCAAAATACTACGCAGTATTCTTAGTATAAATGTGGAACATTCTACTGATTTTGATGGGCAAACAAAACCCATAGAATATGTGGCTCGTACAAATGATGCACTGACGAATGACACTACGAGCTGGATAAAAATAGATGGGATGAATTTTAGCGATATTACACCTGATCCTTATGACCCCGTGAAAAGAGAATGTCGTAACATTTATGTCGGATTACACTATAGCTTTGTTTTATCTAAAGTTGGTGCTGAAAGTAACCCTCAGGATATCATCGTGGCTGCCTTTGCTGAACCCATTATCGGTAGTTGGAGAATACGGAATACGAGAAATTTTGGTGAAAACGCCAAATCCACACAGCATTTTCTTTTTTCTGTTTCCTTTAAATGGATTGATTCGGATTTACAGAAGAAACGTCGTCGTCGGGTTATTGCGCCAGCTATTTTACCCCGTTTAGATGAAACAGTTTTATATCCCTTTAAGGCTCCTGGATAGCCGTCAAAAGACACTGAAGGGTAACTTTTTTTCCTAATTGACAATTATTAGAGAATAAATAGATTAATATATGGATTATCATTATTTGGGCGCTTTTTCGAGTTGTTTCTGTATGTGTTATTATCTATTTATTTAGTTATTTTCTTTTATTATTTATTTATTTTATTCTATTATTTATTTATTTATTGTTATTATTGTTACTTTTTTTTTATGTTATATGTGTGGCAATTTTTGAATTACTGAAAAGGAATTAGGATAATGCGCAACAGTATTATTTTTCGACGTGGCGTATATCACAATGCACCGAGTGTATATCCATTTGTGAAGCCCTTTCATGATACACCGTATGACGAGGATAGGGGTAAACATTATGTTGGGAGAAAAAGATGGCTTAAAAATAGTTGGCCTGAATGGATGGATAATGGAGCTGATGCTTTTGGATACGGGATAGGACTTCATCGCGTGCATCCCCTTTCAAAGTTGCGTGGTAATCTTAAAACTAGTCCTTCTCATGTTCCACGTGTTTTGAACATGATGATTCAAGGTGTATGGCATAAAAGCGGTGTGAAGTTGTATTTTCGTGGTGGTAAACCCCCAAACCCAAGTAAACATCCATATTTAACGGGGGAACCTTGTCCCGTCTATGGATGGAGGATAACAGATGAATCTGTTATCCGACAATTTAACATGCCAAGCGTAGATGTTACAAAGGTGCGATACAAACCTTATGTTGCGTTACAAGAGAGAAAAATAATGGGATTGGACACGCATAAACCTGTTGTGTCTCAAACACCAAAGAAGGATTCGGATGCTAAACCCTTGGTTAAAAGACTTTTTTTCTGGCAGTGAAATATTTATTTATATAAAATTTTATGTGTTAAAATTATCTTGGTGAATTATTTTTTTTTTTTTTTTTTTTTTTTTTTTTTTTTTTTTGCGAAAAAACTATGAGTTTGCTTGGAAAAAAAAAATAAATATCTTTTTGGGGGGGGCTTATAAAAAACCGATTATGGGTCTTTTTTTGAAAAATTTTTAATTATTTATTTTTTTTTTTTTAAAAAT